AAATTTTCCAAGTCAGAAAGTCCTTCTGTTATACAATGGAGAACCTCCAGCAATTCTCTCTTAAGAGCTCAGTCTTCCCAAATGATCTTGGTTTTGATGACTGATTTTCAGTAGTTAGTAACTATTTGATCATTGGCCTTCTTTAGACCTACATGGGGCATCCTTTCCAAAAACTGCCACCTCCAAAATTCTCTGTGATCCTGATCATCAGGATGACTGCATTTGAAAAAAGTCACAAGAGTTTACATAGTTTATTAAATAGATAGAACTGTATTGAAGCTCTTTTCCATTTACATTGATCTTTACAACTTAATTTTTTTTTCTTTTGACATTAAGGGAATTAACAAAAACTGGCCATCCTGAGATGGTCTCCATGGTACCTGGTAGAGTAACCATCCCTGTTTGCCTCTGTCTGAGGGGGTTCCCTGGCTGTGAGACTTTGGGGCCAAAAATGGGAAGTTCTCAGGCAAACCAGGAGAAGTTAATTACCATTAGAGTAAGTTAAACAATGACCAAAAGAGTCCAGGTGCTTAATATGTGGAGAGGGAGCAAATGAGGACCAAAAATGTAAAGGAAAGAATAAGAATGAATGAGTATATATGTCCCTAAATGACTACTTGTGGCAATAGTGGATAACTATTTGTTCTGAACCCACGGTCTTGTTTGACTAGGGAATACTGTTAATGCCTCAATTGAGCTCCAGATTATCAGGTGAAGCAACACTTTCCATGAAGCTAAAGACCTTTGTGTAGAAGTCCCCAGGATGGCCATCACTACCCCAAGTTTATTCATTAGCATAGAAGGAAATTCCCAGAACAAATGGGAATGCCAGGGGTATACCTAAGGCTCCCACAAGGAAGAATACCTTTGTCAAGGGTGTTCAGACTGGGAAAACATGAAAAAGATCTCTGTTTGGATGAAGCATCAGGTTGGCTGGTGTAGATACAACATATTCAGAGAAAATGATAAAATATTTAAGAATTGTTAAAGTAAGTAGCTGCAAGGGAATTATTTTGTCAACATGAAATATTTTAATGTTTATATTGATGAATTTTAAAAATATTGTCCCATCATGTCATAGTTTTATAAGATTTTCACTACCAAAATTGCAGAGTGGGCTTCCTTCTGCCCAGAGCATCTGAGCAGAAAGTGATCTTGTCATTTCTGATTTTGAAAATGAATCAGTTTTATTTGACAATCTGCCATCACAGACTGTTGTATTTGTTATCTTTTTCTATAGAAAAATTGGCTTGTGGTTGGGCGTGGTGGCTCATGCTTGTAATTCTAGCACTCTGGGAGCCCGAGGCGGGAGGATGGCTTGAGCTCAGGAGTTCGAGACCAGCCTGCACAAGAGTGAGACCCCGTCTCCACTAAAAATAGAAAAAATTAGCCGACCTTAGTGGTGCATGCCTGTACTCTCAGCTACTTGGGAGGCTGAGGCAGGAGGATCACTTGAGCCCAGGAGTTTGAGGTTGCAGTGAGCTATGATGATGCCACTGCATTCCAGCCTGTACTCTCAGCTACTTGGGAGGCTGAGGCAGGAGGATCACTTGAGCCCAGGAGTTTGAGGTTGCAGTGAGCTATGATGATGCCACTGCACTCCAGCCAGGGTGACGGAGCAAGACTCTGTCTCAAAAAAAAAAATGGCTTTTTAGTATTATTTTGTCCCAGAATGAATAATTTCAACATAAAAATATTCAACCAAGTCAAACTGTTCCATTGGCGTTTGGTTGAGTCTTCTTTCTTTCTCTCCTCTGTCCCTACTCCTAATAGAACTGAATGGTTTATTTTGACCAAGGTATACACAGCCTCATTTACTCAGACACCAACTCTATACAAAATCAGGGAGAAAGTGAGAGGGAAATGTAGATGGGCCTCTTATACCAGGGTGGGCAATAAATAACTCTAGTGCATGGCATTTCTGTAGGATTACCGAGTGAACATTTTTCTGAGGCAACAGTGGAATGATTCACGGCTGGCATACAGTGAGTACCCAGATGATTCCCTGGACTTGGATCCATCTATGCTAGACTCCATTTGGAAACCAGATTTGTTCTTTGCCAATGAGAAGGGTGCCAACTTCCACGATGTCACCACTGACAACAAATTGCTGCGGATTTCAAAAAATGGCAAAGTGCTCTACAGTATCAGGTAAGACTCCACTGGCTGTACCGGTTAACTTCTCCATTTCTTTGCTGGCCTAGAACTGCCTGATTCTGCAGGGCAGGGTGTATATGAATATTTGGCTTTTGTGGTTTCTTGTTTATCATTTGAATCTTAAAGTTGGTGGAGAGTACCAGAGGTCCCTGTGGTCTCATAAGTGTGATTCTCTATAGCAAAAATGTATTTGGTAGGATGGTGGGTGGGTAATGGTATTGTGTAAATACCTGCACAAATGTGTTCTTAATTGCTTCAATAAAGGAAATACTAGTCCTTCAGTTCAATAGTCATTGAGCATAATGTGTGAAACCTCATTTCAACAATTCTGCCATTCTGTAACATAACCATACACACATAACAAAATTCAATGGCTCAGCATAGTCATTGACAACATACTTTTGGCTGGATGAGTGGAGACCTGGTTCTAATCTCAGTTGTGCTTCTAACTAAACATCTGACCTTGATCTTTTAACTTTTCTTGTACTTAAGCTTGGGACAAACAATTTCTGAGATCTATTTTTCCTTTTATATTCAAATATTATCTTCTCCACAATCTTTAATCAAATCTTTATCTCCAGCTCAAAGTAATTCCCCCCCTTTCTGAACTCTAATAGCAGTTTCTCTGTGACTCTGTAAGGCTTTTGTTTTTTCTTGCCTTATATTTTGGCTATTTCTGTGTATGAGTATAGCATAAGGACATGGATTTCTGGAATCAAGACAAATCTAGAATCAAATCCAAGCTTTGCCACTTACTGAGTTACATAACCTATATCCCTCAGTTACCTTAACTGTAAAGTGGGAAACTCCATATTTATCTCTGAATATTCTTGTAAAAATGAATATTGTAGAGGTCAGCAAATATTTTCTGTAAAGGACCAGATAGTATTTTGCAGATCAGATTGCTTTTGTTGCAATTATTCAACTCTGTCATTATAGCTTGAAAGCAGAAATAGATAATACACAAACAACTGGGCATGGCTATGTTTCAATACAACTTTATTTACAAAACAGGTGGTGGACTGAATTTGGCTCTTTGGCTGTAGTTTGCCAACTCCTGAATATAAAAATATATAAAAAATACTTGCCGCGGTATCTGACATAGAGTATATGTTCAATAAATAAAATGATAGTTATCTGTATTTTAAAACCAATGCTCTTTTTAAATAATAAGCTCTTTCAAGACAATATACTTGGATTTTACCCTTTTTGTAACATCTACCAAAGGGCTATGACAGTGTACTATATGAGAAATACTTAGTACACTGAATAAACTACTGGCATTTTAAAGGTCCTTTATAGAATCCCTGTTTCTCTCCAATTTTATTGCCAAAAAAGTGGACAGCTAGTATCCTTGCAAATAAGTTTTACAAGTTTGCAGACTCAGCACCATCACAACTTCATTTAATAACTCTATCTACAATTTAGTTCTGTGTTGTATATTCCATTCTTATACTTGGAAATTTCACAGCTTGCTGATGGCCAACAGCCCCATGTCTTTTAGAATGAAAAAACCTGCTCATTTGTAAAAAGTGGCAAAGTCACTGCTTGCAAAGAGAACCAGGAAACTTCCCCCAATGCCCATTTTGTTTTTAAGGAAACACAGAATATTCTCCATGGTAATGCATTTGGGTAGTGTAAAATGTAATATTGGGCATGACCTAAGTTGATGGGAGCTGATGAAATGGGACATATGTAGAGTGTGGTGCTGGGAAGGAGAGTTATAAAAAGCAGCACAGGGTATCAGCTGCTCCAGCTAATCCTCTGGGCCTTGAGTGGCGTTTGCTCTAATAGATACCTGGCATTGTGTACTGCTGAAATAAAACCAGGTGGTTGTTGCTGTTGTTGTTTTCTTGCTGTTCTATGAAGGTCTTTACATTCTATAATTGTGAAAGATATAATGCTCCCCAGACCTAGACCCCGAGGAATTCTTGTATCTCAAGTATAGCATGTTGCGGGCCCTGAAATGCCCTAACAATTGTTTTGGATTGGGCAGGGTTTGTAATATGGTAGGCTGGTTTAGACTTTTCCTTCATTGTGAGTATTCCCTGCAATCAGAGGAAAAATCCTTGGTAAAGGAGAACTGGAGATGATGTCACTTTAAGGAAACACAGGCTCTTGGCAGATTTGAACTTTAGGAGTCAATTATTTCCCTAGAAGGGTTTTAAATGAGCCAGACACTGTGCTGAGCCTAGAGATCCATAGTTGAGTAAGATGTGGTCCCTGCCCTTGAATGGCTCCAGATTAACAAGTCAGGTGGACATATGACAAATTAAGTAATAGGAATAAATAGGGAACAAGAAAAAAATTGGCTCTAACTTTGCAAATGAATTGTGTGACCTCAATGGTGTCAAAATTTGGGAGTCAGTACCCACGCTGCTGTTTGAGTCACTGGACTCAATTTAACAAGAGACCAAGGAGTAATTAGTGCTAATACATGCCCAGCTGTAGGTTTGACTTAACTTTAAGGCCAAGGGGTGTACAGTTGTCCATGTCTTAAAGGTGCTCAAAAGTCCCTGCTGAAGTTCCGTTAGGAAGGAATTTCCCTGCACACTCAGGTTTCCAATGCAAATACCCCTGGAAGAGGGAACCCATTGGCCTAAATTCATACTAAACTGTAAAGAGCTGATATTAATTTCTGACAGTAGGTTTGATGTCTATGAAGCATAGTAAGAATGAGCATACTAGATCTTAAGAGGAGAAATGGGATAAGATGAAGAATGTTTGGGAAAGATACAAGGAAGGGACTAGAAGTACCAAAGACAAACTCATAAATTGCCTCCACCCTACACAGTAATTAAGTAATTATTTAATTACTTAAGCATTTAATCCACATTTTAAAAAGTAATAGTCTGTAGTGATGTTTTATATTTGCATTTTCCTGAAACCTAAAGAAAATACTGATAGTATTTCATCTGGGAACAATTCCATGCTTTTCTTAGCTTTGTAGGATTAGAGGTAGAATTAACTCTCCACGGACACCAAAGCCCAAAGCTTTGATAGTCAAATAAAGCACAAAGAGAACTATGCAGTCCATTGACTTCATAACATGCAAGACCATCCTTCCCAATATTTTATATATCTGTATTCCGAAAGAATGGGGATCTATAAAGAAAGAGGGAGTAGTATACCAGAAATCCTTAAGTGTCCTCTTCATTCAAACACTTGGGGTACTTGAATAAAATTCAAACAAATCGTTTAAATACAAAGGAAAGATCTTATCTCAGTGTTAACAAATCTCTCTCCAGTGATGCAGGACACAGCTTTTGCTGATTCAATAGTGTCAAATCTATTTCTGTCCATTTTTATTCAGATTTCTTCTTTAATACTCTCTTTTCTAATGTGTTTACCTTACTTTACTTTTTCTGAGTTTTTTCTTGACCCACCTCATTAGTTATTGATCATCCCTGACCAAAGTATGAACAAGGACACATGTCTTGCTTTGTACACCCTCTTCAGAGTGAGTCAAATTCTAAATTCAGGTTACTTACAAAGACTTGAATCCACAGTGGAAAAATGAGGTGAGCCTTGAATGTTGCACATATTATTGTTCAAGCAATTAGTTGAATTTAATATAATGCATTGGAGTAAAGGTCAGGACATCATGGGGTATGGCGGGCAAGAGGAAAGAAAAAAGAAGGTGAGCATTTTTGGAGATGAACAGTTTCTCTTATGTGTCCACAATGCCTTTGCTGATATTTGTTTTCTTCCTTCAAATCCCATTGTTTCTGAGAATTTTCTGTCAGAAATCTGACTTTTATAGAAGCATAATTTCTTTTTTAACAAAGATACCTTGTAAAATATCTAATCCAACACCCTTGATTTACCAATGAGGAAGTGACTTCTTTCAGAAGTTAGATGAGCCAAAATAATGGAGCCCGTAAATAGGAAAGCTAGGACAAGAATCAAAGCTCCTGGCTACTTTTTCAGTGCTGTCATCTCCTACCCTACATTAATGCCGCATTTATTCCAAATTAAGTCCAAAGACATAAACAAATAATTCTAAGACATTTCATTTTGAAACCAACCTTTTTGGGAGGGGCCGTTAGAGGAAAAAGGTAAGATTAAAGATGAGAACATGTGTCTTCAATTTTACAAATATCTTAGACGACTGTTTAAATTCAAGGTGAAACAATTGACTTTCAAACAGGAAGATGGATCTATTTGATAATTTTATATAGCATATGTAGCTTACGTAGCATATCTACCTTTTGAAAAGTTTTACTATCCCAGGATTAAAGGGCTGAAGAGACCCATTAAAGTCAGTAAGTCAACTCTCTGCCTTTAAGCAATCCACTGAGAACTCATTCTATTTTTAAAGACCTTCAGAGAAAGAGATTTTAAATTCTCTTTGGATCTTGTAATAATAATGTTATGCTAACATTGTAAAGAAATTCTTTCTTGTATAACTTAAATCACCTGTGCTGAAATTTAAATCAGTCACTTTTTCCTCCATCTGTTAACATGATAAACAAATAGCCACCATTTTTGGAAGGATGGAGGGATTACCTCATTGTTCTTCCTTGCAGACATTTTTGCCTTACCAGAGTTAGTGGACGTATGTTTGGTCACTAACATTATGCTGCTGGTTTAATTTTACTAATTTTATTAATTTGAAGAATACCATGATGTTCTTCATCTTGTAATTTTTAGTTTGTTGTAGTTTGAGGCCCCTACTCTGGACCCTATGGTGTTGAATATTGATTGTCCTGGTTACTTCTGATAGTAGACATGGACTTTAGGATCAAACACACTTAGGCTTGATTCTCCGACCCCAGCACCATTACCTGTGTAATTAAGGATAATTTGTTACTTCTCTAAACTTCTCAGCTTTGATAAGGAGATAGTTTGGTTATGAGCATTAGTAGAATGCAATATATATTATATAGATAGATACTCAAAAGTGGCATTATCATACACTCTAGAGCTCTTGGTATTTTCTTTAAATTTAATGATTGTTCTTTCTGTTCCAGCCTCTAAGACAAATAGTAAAC